CGGCTGGCGACCCCCAGGGGGAGGGCCTTCTCTGTGGGTGCCCCCACCCTCTGGAACGAACTACCCCCCGAGATTCGGATAATTCCGGATCTCCTTACCTTCCGTCGCGCCCTCAAGCGGACCTGACCTAGGGTGGATTTTATACTGGGTTTTTTAGGAATTTGGAAGACGCAACTCTAAATTTGGTTTAATTCGGTTTTAAGGGGGGGATTGTATATATGTTTTGGTTTTAAGTATGTTGTGCGCCGCCCTGAGTCCCGTCGGGAGAAGGGCGGCATATAAATTAAATAAAATAAATAAATAAATAAATAAATAAATATATCTCCATATGCAAATGAAGAATATTGTAGACTGATCCTGAAACTGGGCTGATGTCCCCATTCTTTGAGGGCAGGTACCTATGGATTCCCATGTGAGATCTCTGCATTGAGCATTCCCACGACTCCATCCATACTGGTACCTGAGTCAGGCTGCTGGCACAGGCGTTGGACATACTGGAGGCAGTTCCAGACATGCTTCCCAGCACAGCTGACAGGACACTGCCCAGGCCCTCAGCACAGAGTCCTCTGTTACATGAATGCCGCAGGGGGGGTGGATTCTTTAGGGCTTTGCTGCACAGCAGATAGCAGCCTATGGAGTTAATACTTGCAGTAACCCCCATGGCAGCACCAATACCAATTGCATGAGTGCTAAGCACTGGCCAGCCCTGCTCACCTGAAATAGAGAAAGGAATTGAAATCTGAAGATTAGCACAAGGGAAATGCAGAGTCTGGCTTGGCCACTCACTAACCTGGGTAGGGTATTTTGAGCCATGGGGAGTGCAGAGTGCTGTTGCTGAAGTTAAGATGTTGTGTGGAAGGATGCAAACTGTCCCAAGGGATTGCAACAGGTCTAAGGATCCCACAGATAACCCAGATGCTAGAGAATGGTAGCAGAACCTGCAGGAAATATAGAGTGGATATGAGAAGAATTCTCCTCAACAGAGAGGCTGAGGGACTGCATGTCTACAATTTTCTCTCCCTATCTGGTAATTAGGTATGATCCACCCAACTTTAACAAAGCACCATCTGATGGGACCTACCTGGAACCACTCTAGAGATTTAAGTAGTCCCAGTCCTGCTATCCCTTAAACGGGCCTTGTAGACCTGGTTGTTTCCCCACACCCTGGATCCGGAGAGGAGAGTGAAATGTATTTTGTATTAGGGATGTTAATCTCCAGGTTATCACCTCCTTTTTATCTGCTTTATTGTATTGACATTTGCTTTATAACTTTTAATTAATAACTGATGAATTGGTACCGAAAACATGTGCAGTGCTGGGCCACCAAATGTTATAGAAAGTCCCTTTGTTTGGCTCCACTGGCAGTGAGGCAGTCGGCAAGAAGCCAGGTGCTGGGATATCAAAACACACAGCAAGACAAGCCTGAAAAAGATGATAGGGTAGGTGAGATTCTGTAATATACTGTCAAAGGAAGAAGGAATTCAGTCATAAACAGATCTGCCCATTCAAGAGCCTTGTTGAAGTGAAAGACACAAATAGAAGCACCCTCACAAAATCTTTTCCCTTTTGCACAAAGAGGATATCTAGGTATTAAGGTATGTATATTGAAAATGCCTATTGTGGTATTAGAACCAACACATTTAGAGAAATGCCAACCACACACAAAAAAAGTCAAGAATATGGGATTTTGCACATCTTGCAACTTGCATTTAAAAGTAAATGTGTGTGTGTGTGTGTGTACACACACACACACACATGTATGTATGTATGTATGTATGTATGTATGTATGTATGTATGTATGTATATATGGCATATATTCAAACTGTGCTTATATTAGTGGAAGGGAAACTCAAGTTTTTAATCCTCTAAGTCAGCCATTCCCTCCACAAAGTTTTGTGGAATTCAAAATTTCATTGATGAAGACTTTAAAAATGAGAAAAACATTGTGTTTTAAAAACATCTGAATTTCAGTTTTAGCATTAAGAAGCCCTTAATGCTCTTAAAGTTTTCTGCTGAGAAAAGCAGTCAATTGGAGTACTCTTGCCACTTCTCAGAGAACCTCTGCTTGCCAGATAATGGCTGAAAAAGCATCTGATATTTGGCTGGTCTTCTGAAAAGAGTTAGGAAAAGAATGTTGAAGAACCTACAGCACCGCGACTATCCAGTTCTCAGAACAGAGAAGAGCAGCAGGCTTGTAAGCTGAAAGTCCAATAACAGAAAGGCTTGGAGCCAGGACCATGGGACCACAATGATGGGCAATCCATCCACAGGCTCCAGACACTCCAAACAGCATCTGTACTAGACCAGAGACTAGTACGGCACCAGAGATCTGGGGGAAAAGAGAGGAAAAATGGTTAAAGCTATAGGACTTACTACTGTAGCAAAGCCAGAGCAATATAATAATACAGCACCCCTTCCCAACTTCATCAGTCCAGAAGAGTTAACTTCAGCTCCCAAAATTCTCAGTAATGGCCGTATTATCTGGTGAATTCTGGGAGTATGCCCAGATTGGGCAAGCAGAGTTAGAATGCTGGTTTAGGACTGAGGGAGGCCTAAGTTCAAATCTCCACTGACTCTGAACTTCACTGAGTGGTTTTTGGCTAGTTACATTTATTCTAACCCATTTCACAGGAAGGTGTGAGGAGGGGGGGGAAAATAACAATGCCTCCTTATGATTACTACTCCATCTTTCTACTCTCATGCAAACAAAATAGATTAACCTGGGGGGGAGAGGTGGAGCATTCAGACAACCTACCAATTTGGCAAGAGAAAGGTCTAGCCATTTCTTCACCTTTCAATCATTACATGATGACTATTTCCTTTCTTGCTATCAAGAAGCTATGGCAATTTGGCATTATTACCAAATTGTTCTTAAAATGAAAAGAGACTTAATAGACTAGTTTGCATGATGTTTTAAATTAAATTTTTAGTAGGAGCAGCCAAATCTGAATAGTTATTTTTAAATCTTTTTAAATTTTGTATTGTACTGTACTATTGTTTTAAACTGGCTGTAAGCCGCCCTGAGTCCTCCGGGAGAAGGGCGGCGTATAAATTTAATAAAATCTAAAATCTAAATCTAAATCTCTTTCTCCAGCAGAATTGGCCCAGAGGTTAGGGCAGCTTTCCTAGATGACAAACTGAAGTGGATGCTGAGCAGTACTTATTAGCATTCTTAAGAAGTCTCTTTAGTGATCTGGGTTTGGGGTAAACAAAGTATAAAAAATAAAAAAAAATTAAACAATGTATTATTTCCTAATCTTTCATGGATCATAGTCTATTCTATTCAGTGCATTAAGAGAACTGTGATTTGGTTTCAGCAATAATCAAATATTGTTGTTTTATTTTATTTTATTTTATTTTATTTTATTTTATTATTTTATTTTATTTTATTTTATTTTATTTTATTTTATTTTATTTTATTTTATTTTATTTTATTTTATTTTATTTTATTTTATTTTATTATTTCTGCCCATCTCACCTACGGGGAACTCCAGCTGGCTTATAATCAAATAAAAGCAACACCATTAAAAATTAAAACATGAAAATAATAGCTATTAATATTAAAATTGATTTAAATATTAACAAAAATGCCAAGGAAGGGAGCAAGATGCATATGGGGAGGAGGTGGAATCTTATTCCAGTTCATTAACCACCTCCAGTATGATGCCCCATCAGGGCCTTTGCCCAAGACTGTTTTTTTGTTACAAAAGGTTAACATAAAGTTATAATTTAATAAATATTTAAAAGCAGTGTCATAAATATCTACATATCTTCTCCAAACATACAGGCTATTTGGATATTAATAAATTTCCATCTGCTAGCTTAACATCTGGGGTTTTTTTTCCAATATGTAGTTTGTAATTATTTGTCCTAGATTAAACTAAGCAGACAACTGATGCGTACGTGATATTACCAAGCACTAAAAGCCCTGAAAGTATTATAAAATGTACTTCTGTTCACACAGAACAGAATTTTTTCCCTGTTCTCCTTCAACTCTCTCTTGAGCCCAATGTGCTATTGTTTGGCACTCAGATAGGAGTGCTATTTATCCTAGAGCCAGCTTTGCTCTCTGACAGATCAAACCTACCAACCTCATGGAATAATTGCTTCGGGTTTCTTTTGTTCTCACAGTCTAGCCCAGCACATATTTCAAGAGCCTCTGTGCCTGAATGAAAAAGAAGGATATGTACATTTGTACTGGGTAGTCAAACAAAAATGATATCAGGGAAAGGGGGAACCCCCAGAATTCAGTATCTTGTGAAAGAAATCTATAGAATTCACTGGAGAAAAGATTTTAAATAACAGGATGGAAATCTAAGGGGGGAAAGAACAAAGTCTGAACCCAAGCAATAATTGAAAATATTAACTACAGCCCTCTGATTAAAACGTTTTCATCATTTAGGAAGGAAAGAAAAAAAATAGAGGTAATGTATCATTCATCAAAAGTTAAGGATAAAAGGCAGCTGTTATGTTCCATATTTTACCTGTACAGGGAGCACAGTTGGAAACAGAAGATTGGATTAGATGGCTTTTCTACTGATTGGACAAGATAAGGTATGCCTTTTGTCTTGACATAATATGAGATGGATACATTAGTTCTTTTAAGGGATGGATTTACAATGAAATCAGACACCTGATAACACCACCTGGTTTTCACTGAGCATGACAACTTTTGCTATATCCAAAGAAAGTGGCATAAGGAGTACTGCCAGCTTTGCTTGTCATTAAAATGCCTTGTGCCTAATGATATGTTTTTGGAGGAGTGGTGAGTGCAGTAGACCATAACTCACTGTTTTCTTTCAATGATGATCGATGAACAGGAGCCATCTGCTGGGTCAGTACCATGGCTGGGATAAGGAATTCAAAAGATGGAGCCTGCACCAGTGGCAATCTGCAGGGTTGACAAAGTCAATAAACATGGTAGAAGGACTGGTGGCAACCCAAACAGGGGAGTTATTATCCATATTCAAGTTAGCTTTCCAAAAACACAAAATGTCCCTGTCTAGACTTCAAAAAACATAAGATTATAAACAGGTAAAACAAGCTGGGGAGGGGGAACTGACAGCTGTACCTAATATTTTTACCCTAACAGAAGCCACTTTTTTGTATCTTTTTTCTTTCTTTTCTATTTTTTTTACTTTTTCCCTTTCTTGCGCTTTTAGCTTTCTCTTTGATGTCTTTCTTTTTATTAGTTTGTGTTAGCTTTTATCTTCTTTTTTTAAATTGTTGATACAGTTATCCCCCCCCCAAAAGCAAGAAAGATATGCCTTTGTTGTATTGAACAATAGTCTCCCAGAATCACCTTCTGGGCACAGTCTGACAGGAAGGACCAGAACTACTGTAAAATAATGACTCTAAGCTACCAGAGGTTGGAGCCATTCTACCAGATATGCTATAGTTGATGGTAGATGATACCAAAAGCTTCTAAGATATCCAAAAGAACTAAAAAGACCACTCTTCCTCCTATCCCATATCTAATATAGGTCATTCATCAAGACAGCAAAACAGTTTCAATAAAATTTCCTGGCTGAAATTGACTGAAATGGAACCAGAAAATCACTTATCATTCAGATGTATCTGGAGCTGCAGATCAATCTGGAACTACTTCTTGATCAATCTTTTCCTGAAATTAAACATTTGAGACAGGCCTACAATTGTCTCCCAGGCGATGGGAGATTTTCTTCAGCAAAAGTCTTATTTATGTCCACACTGGACATGTTGATCATCTCTTTTAATCATGGGGCCAATATTATCCTGGCTGATGGGCAAAGAGTAAACATAGTGGTTGTCTTTCAGTTATTCACACATTCTGTCCCAGTCTTGGAAAGTCACAAATTTTAAAAATCCAGAACAATAGCACAAAGGATCACAACCTGAAAGGAGCAGAATGCAGCAACCAGTCTACCCTTCTTTCTCTTCAGCCTCCCACTACATCTCCCCATGCCAATAGCTCTGCCATTGTGGATTGTCTATTTTGTTTACTCTGTTTATTTGTCAAACTATGGGAAACTTTTCCTCTAAGACAGTATTAAACACCTCCCTCCTCCAACTATATTCCAACAGCAACCTTTTGAAGTCTGGTAGTGACTAGCCCCAAATCACCCTGTGAGATTCCTTGGCTGATTCCTCAATCTGAGGCTCCTTGTTCATTGTTCCACATTGTCACTGAACCACCTTGGCTTTCATCCATAACTGAACCAAATGGACCCTATGGAAGATTGTGGGAATATGTGGGAGAAGGGATTAAAATCAGCTTACCTGGAACCCAGACTACACTGAATGGCTGTGGAGATGCCACAAGCAAAGAGATTGTGTGCTAGAAGTCCATCCCAAGATGGAGTCTCCTTCAGTTGCTCCTTGGGCAGTATGGCAATGAAGAGAAAGTGAAACACGCAGAGAAAAGACACTTGGACCAGGAGATGCTAGAGAGAAGAAACAATGGGCTAAAGTAGAGAACTTACCCACCCTTTACAAAGCTAGGTTCCTTGTTCAAAAGACAGCATAGTGTTGTCCAGAAGGCTTGTCTATCTACTTCTAGAGTTGCTGGCCAATATCTTCAATCAGACCTATAATTCCTGTCCCACCCCTAGAGTAACACATCAAAGTGTAGCTCACGAGTTAATAATAATAATAATCAGTTAATAATTATAACACCCGATGTATTTTGCCCTACTAACATGACCCACAATGCATACCAGGATTAATGCTGGACAACCAACATGCTGAAATCACTTTCCAATTAATTAGAAACAATTTCTCACCTGCCACTACCCATTACAAGAGAGTCTGAATTCTTCTCCAGTGGATTATTACCTCTTAGTAACTCTACTCACCTGCAAAGCCAATAAGCAACTTATAGGCCAGGGAGGCCATTTGGACCCTCTTTGAGCAAGGGACAGGATGCTTTGGGAAGCTCTGTTGGGTTTGCTCATGATGTGGATTTCTTTCTTTCTCTTAACGTTGCACTCCTGTCTGGAAAGTGACTTAGCAACAGGATATATTCTTTCTAGCTCCTCCTTCCTTTGGTTGTTCATTTTAACTGGCTATTTGGGTCTGAACTTCCACCTTTGGCCCTTCCAGGCCACAATTCTTCAGTCCATTAGCTATTAACTTGGCTTGCCAAGTAACAGGCCTCCTGCATTGGGAGAATAAAGACATGAATGAGCCGGGATGAAAGGGGAAGCAGAGAAAAGGAGAGAAGCGTTTTTGGATATTTGCTCACTGTTCTAAAATAGGAACCATGTTAATGTATGCAATTCATAAGTTAATGTGTTGTTCATTGTTGATTCATCATTTATGTTGAGCTAAAACTTAATGGAAGTGGAGAGAAAATGAGAAATCTCTGGCTGAAAAATAGCTGTGTTTACCTAATTGAGACTAACTGGCATTTTTGTGGACATTACCAACTTTCTTGAACTAGTAGTGCAATAGGATTCAAGAAATGAGTAAGACCTGAGGATCTGATCTTCAGTCTGAATCAGAAACTCTAATTATTGCATCACAGCAGCCTTCAAATTTATATTTCTTCCTTCAGCCCTGCAGTCTCCTTTCCACATTATTTAATATAATAAGCCTTGGTGTGATGTGATAGCTGCATTGCTGTTGACTTTATCATATGCACAGTTCACAAACTACTTCTTTGGCTGCACTTCCTTTTTATTTATTTTCAATATTCATATATAATGTAGGATCTATAGGGTATTTGTTTTACCAAACATATTTTTTAAAGACCAACATATAATAAAACAAAGAAAAAGCCAGCATTAGAGAAAATGTTGGATTTGACAATAGTATAGTTATCCATGCCTTAGTTACTGTACATTTCACTTTGACTACTGCAAGATATACTACATAGGATTATTTTTTATGTATGCATAGAAGTTGCAAATGGTAGAAAACGGGCATCTATAATGCTAACTGGTGCACAGGATCTTATGATCTCCATATTAAAAGATCCACACAATTTACCTATTCTTTCCCAAGTATAAAATTAAATTTGTTAACTTTTTGGAGTCCTGAGTGGTGGAGGGTCTGGGTATATGAGAAATCACCTCTCTCCTTACAAATCTGTCCAGATATCTGCAGATCCCTCTCCGGAAAATTCTTCCCATCCCTGGTATTTCAGTGGTCCCTTGAATTACCATCTGCAAGGATTTTCTTGTGCATTGCTTTCAAACATTCCTTTAAAAAAAATTATACTCTTCTTCCTCCTTCCAAGCACGGTATACACCCATTGACAGGCTTTTATTGTTAATACTCTTAACTTGTATTATTTATTTTGTATTTGGTATTTTAGTTGTTGTTATCCATGTATATTCAATAAGAAGGTGAATTGAAATTGAATAAACAAAACTTATTGACAGATAAAAAGAACTAAGTAATGTTCTAAATTGTGTCTGGCGCAGTAAAGAACCAGAGAGTAAACACTCTATTGTATTGTATAGCCCAGTACAAATATGGGCATCTGTAGCCAAATAGTGGATTGGAAAATGCAGCTTGTGTCAAATATTGGGATGCAAACATATGACAGTGGTGTTTGCATCATCATGCATATGTAATTTTGACATCATTGCTGTTTGCTGTGAACCTTTTTAATAAAATGTGAGAGTACACTCTTCCTAGCCAATCAAAGTTCAGCTAGATTACAGTGTTTTTCAACCTTGACAATTTTAAGGCATGTGGACTTCAACTCCCAGAATTCCACAGCCAGCAATGCTGGCTGTGGAATTCTGGGAGTTGAAGTCCACATGCCTTAAAATTGTCAAAGTTGAAAAACACTGAGCTAGAACTATTCCTCCAACTAAAGAAATTTTAATTCAGTGGCAGGTGGTGCTCTGAGATCCAGTAAATCTTTAGATCTAATTTGAGCAAGCTCTTGATTTATTGAATGGTGCTGACATGATACTATGTCCATACATGGAGAAATGCAGCCTTACTGTAGATATCCACCCATTTTGTCACCAGGCCTGGGGACGTAAATGGAGAGACTTCATTGTGTTGTTTCTGCAATGGGCGGTTGGAGTGGTTTTTTAAATGTTTTTATTATATGGTAATTTTTTAAAAAGTTGTAAGCTGCCCGGAGCCACCTATGTGTCAGTTGACTGGTTATAAAAATTTGTTTAACAAATAATAAACATCAAGAGCTAACTAGAAATATGTTATGATTTTTTTGTATTAGTATTTTCCCATTTTCACTAGCTTTTGGTTCATTTCCGAGTGCAGTTGAAAGTGCTCATTTCCTGAAGCCTAATTTAACTTGAAAGATCATCTACCCTCTATATTCCTGTATCATGGCGTTCTCTAGTTGCTTCTGCAAAATGAGGTGTGGTGGATAGCTATTTAACAGAACGCCGTTCCAGTGCTGGTATGTCATTTTCAAACAAGCTTGCACAATCGCTCAAGTTGACTCAAAATCTTGCTTTAGGACTTTGTTCTTTTCTGGCTACGACTCTACAGACATATGTTCTATATCACAAAGAAAGCCCAGTCTCCAGAGGAGTGGTATAAATGTTCTAATATTTCTTCAAAATGCATTAGTGCAATAAAAATTATACTGTAATGTTCTTTCTATTTTTGAATCTAGTTCAAAGAATAATAAACGGTTCTACCATCAGACACATACATCTCACTTGTGGCTTTATACAAGATGTGTGTGTGTATGTTTCAGTGTTTTGACCCTTGGCAGCTGCCTGGAGAAGTCCCTTCAGTTTTCTTGCCAAATTTTAGAAGTGGTTTGCCATGGCCTCTTTCGTAGGGCTAAGAGAGAAAGAAAGTGGCCCAAAGACTTCTAGGACTATATATGCAGGCTGAGAACTTGCAGAAGCATTTTTTGCACAAGAATACATATCTGCATCCAGAATATTAGGCGAGTTAAGTGGATCACGCTATATCTCTGAACAGCTTTGAGGCACAGATTCATAAGGCTATTTTACTTCTGTATGTTTTAGCATAGATGTGTGAATACACAAAATAGAACAGGGTGAGAATATTAGCTAAACTATTCTGCTACTTTTAGGAAGTACTGTAAAATAAAGTGTAAGATACTCAAGTGGCGTAATGTTCAGCAGTAATATCTCTGAGCTATACATACAATTAAGAGCTGTATTTTCTTAACCTTGACAACTTCAATTCCAAGAGTTGGCTGGCTGGGGAATTCTGGGAGTTGAAGTCCACACATCTTAAAGTTGCCAAGGTTAAGAAACACAGCCTTCAGCTCCCAGAAAGAAAAGAAAGCAGCTGATGGTACTGGATGAAGGTTTAATAGTGTGAAACAAACAAACAAACAAAAGAGACAGAAACACACAAATACCTTTATTAGAAGAGATCCCATCTACAAATTACAGTGGAAAACTAATGCAGAAAAAAGTTGGAAGAAATTGGGGTAGGACAGCCTTTCTTATTCAGGTATCCTCCAGAGAGTTTGAATTATCACTCCCCTCAGCCATTGGCCATGCGAACTGAGGATCACAGAAAGTAGTAATCCAGCGTTATCTGGAGGCAATCTGCTTACTAAAGGCAGTTATAAGAAAAAAAACTGCCATCCTTCTACCCGCTTCTGTCACAAAAAGTGAAGGAGGCAGTCAAGCACTCATAAATAAGACCAGGAATTCCAAACTTTCCTTAGTCTTCCATACCCTAATTAACAGTACTCAGTGAGTGGCATCCCACCCTACCTTCGTCCTCATGTAACAGCACAAAACCTGCTTGGCTTTTAGGAAAACAACGGGTAGACACAGGCAGAGAACACGAGTAATGACTTTACATACTTCTTAATTATGTAACAATCACTGCTAATCTAAATTGTGTAGAGTTGCTGCTATTCACCACCATAGCTCTTACAGAGAAATCTACCTGGCAAATGGCTCCACACATACAGCTAAGCTGGGAAGATTTATGGTGCCTGATGCAAGCAGTCCTGATATATGTGTCCTCACCCAATTCCGCAAGGAAGGACTCAGACCAGTCTCCAGTGCACGTAACTGGCTCATATGAAATGGAAGAAGGGTTTATCAGACTTTGTGCTCCCTGTCCCAGTCTCAACACTTCAGATGAGATGCGTTCTTCCAATAAACCCCTTAAAGCTTTTTAAGCATCACTGTCAATTTGGGAGAAGAGAAAGATACCGAAGTCAAATTTAAAAAGGTAAGTGAATTAATATCTGCTGCAATACAGTATCGCAAGTGCTTCGTTTCCATCTCTAGCCTTTCCTGGTTGGTGTCCCGTGACTCTGATGTACCAAGGCATTTCTTATCAAGGTGTTCACCCCCTACGTCTAAGCTACATCCTTCTTTCCAACCTTAACTAGGAAACATAAAAGTTTTGAACCTGCCAAGCTCTAAAGAAGCCTGCCAAGGACACTGTTGCAGTGCTAGAGGTTCCGGCCAGTCTTTGCAATTAGGAGACAAACGAAGGGGTCTGTCCCAGCACGAGCTGCTGGAGCAACAAGGAAGTCCAAAGTGAGTTGACTGTTGAGCAAAACGGGTGCAAGCTGTGTGGTTGGCTGTCATGCAGGAAGTGGGCTGTTGGCAGTGCGGGCAAAGCGAAGAGCTGATAGGGGCTGATGAATAAGACAATGCCTTAAGGACTTTTCCCCAGAGATACAGCACCGTAACTGAAACCCCACTGATTCCTCTCTGCTGTTTTTCATCTTGAAAGGTTTGATTCTCCACCCTGGGCCACGAAGGACAATATGGTGGCTCTTGTTTGCAATCCATATTCTGGGCTGAAGAGGAAACAGGCAGACATGAAACCAGAGCATCTCTGGTGCTGGTAACAGCAGTAGGACCAGATCTTTTCACATGGATAGAGTGATGCATCACTGCAGCTGAAGCAAATACAGCGGCAACACCTGTCAGATATACCACACCAAGAATGCACGCCAGCTATAGAAGGGGAGAAAAAAGAAAGAAACCAGATTATGCACTGTTTTTAG